CGTACAGGCGCACGTACAGTGCGATTGAAACTTCGTGGCCCATGCACAGAAGTCGGTTTTCAGCCTGGGCGAGTCTATTTTGAAGAAGTACTGTTGATATTTGGCTCTGTTGACTAATGAGTTTGCCAACCATTGGTATAGACTCTATAGTATACACTCTATAGCAGGGGTGGGCAAACTTTTTGACTCGAGGGCCACAATGGGTTCTTAAACTGGACCGGAGGGCCGGAACAAAAGCATGGATGGAGTGTTTGTGTGAACTAATATAAATTCAAAGTAAACATCATTACATAAAAGGGTACGGTCTTTTTTTTTTTTTAGTTTTATTCATTTCAAACGGGCCGGATCTGGCCCGCGGGCCGTAGTTTGCCCACGGCTGCTCTATAGTATACACTCTATAGCAGGGGTGGGCAAACTTTTTGACTCGAGGGCCACAATGGGTTCTTAAACTGGACCGGAGGGCCGGAACAAAAGCATGGATGGAGTGTTTGTGTGAACTAATATAAATTCAAAGTAAACATCATTACATAAAAGGGTACGGTCTTTTTTTTTTTTTAGTTTTATTCATTTCAAACGGGCCGGATCTGGCCCGCGGGCCGTAGTTTGCCCACGGCTGCTCTATAGTATACACTCTATAGCAGGGGTGGGCAAACTTTTTGACTCGAGGGCCACAATGGGTTCTTAAACTGGACCGGAGGGCCGGAACAAAAGCATGGATGGAGTGTTTGTGTGAACTAATATAAATTCAAAGTAAACATCATTACATAAAAGGGTACGGTCTTTTTTTTTTTTTAGTTTTATTCATTTCAAACGGGCCGGATCTGGCCCGCGGGCCGTAGTTTGCCCACGGCTGCTCTATAGTATACACTCTATAGCAGGGGTGGGCAAACTTTTTGACTCGAGGGCCACAATGGGTTCTTAAACTGGACCGGAGGGCCGGAACAAAAGCATGGATGGAGTGTTTGTGTGAACTAATATAAATTCAAAGTAAACATCATTACATAAAAGGGTACGGTCTTTTTTTTTTTTTAGTTTTATTCATTTCAAACGGGCCGGATCTGGCCCGCGGGCCGTAGTTTGCCCACGGCTGCTCTATAGTATACACTCTATAGCAGGGGTGGGCAAACTTTTTGACTCGAGGGCCACAATGGGTTCTTAAACTGGACCGGAGGGCCGGAACAAAAGCATGGATGGAGTGTTTGTGTGAACTAATATAAATTCAAAGTAAACATCATTACATAAAAGGGTACGGTCTTTTTTTTTTTTTAGTTTTATTCATTTCAAACGGGCCGGATCTGGCCCGCGGGCCGTAGTTTGCCCACGGCTGCTCTATAGTATACACTTTATAGTATAGACTCTATAGTACAGAGAACCAACAGTGGAAACATGCCCTGCACCTGTGGCACTTCCCCCGGGGCCCGTGAGGCAGTGGATTTTTCATTTGCTACACATTGAAAACAAAAAGCAAAAGCTCACCGAAAGCCTTCTGTGGGCGGGAGAGGAGATTTATTCGTTTTCAGTCATTGGTTTGGGACCCTGAGTTTGTCCTTGAGATGGATGTCATCCTGGAACGCTAGCAACACAGGAAGCCGTGTCTCACGCGGGCAACAGGCTCTGTGACCTCAGTGAGTCAATGTATAATGAAACTCATTTACCACAGGCTCACTGGTATAAACAAGAATTAAATTCCTACAGCATCTCATTAACTTTATGATGGAACAACTTGAACAAATCGTTATTCAAAGGCATACATGGAAGGGCTGAAGGGCTTCTGAAGGTCGTTTATCCTCAGAAGGGTAACCGGGCCTGATAACCCCAAATAGACAGAAACCTGAACGTTCCGGGCTGGAAAAGAGGAAGCCCATTCCCTGGAAGGCAGGTCACTCTCACAGGTTCGCTGTCAGCTCTCTGACATGTCATCTGCTCTAAGGAGAGAGGAGGAGCCTCCTTCCAGGACTCCGGGAACAGGGCGACTCCTCTGGCCCAGAGGCCAATGACTGCTTGTTTGAGGGAAGTGTTGGGTAAAACGAAGCCGGCAGACTCTTGGCTACTTGATGCTTTAATTCCAAGCACTGGGAGTGCTGTGATGGCCAGGGATCCTTAATCACCCTGGCCACTAGAGGGCGCAAGACCTGGCTCCGAACCACCCAATGATTTGTCATTTCTGTCTAATTCAGTGGTCAGCAAACTCATTAGTCAACAGAGCTAAATATCAACAGTACAACGATTGAAATTTCTTTTGAAAGCCAAATTTTTTAAACTTAAACTATATAGGTAGGTACATTGTTATTAACTTAATTAGGGTACTCCTAAGGCTTAGGAAGAGCCACACTCAAGGGGCCAAAGAGCCGCATGTGGCTCGCGAGCCGCAGTTTGCCGACCATGGGTCTAGTTAATAGCCTGGCAAACAGGCAGGTAAAATGACCTTTTCAAAGGCAGTTGGGCCAAGTCAGAGCCCCTGAATGCCAACGCCATGAGCAAATTGGTAGGCTGACACTTGCCTCTCTCATCTCCCAAAAGTAAGCCCGCAGGTCTGTTCTCTCATTCAGCCGGTGCCTACTGAGCTCTGCTTGCACACCAAGCACTGAGCTGGACTCTGAATCCGACCTCTGTCCAGGCACAGCCTCTGCTCTCGGGAGCTCACAGGCTAGGTTGTTCCAGAGACAAGAGGGAAATGGCTCGTTGCCCTGAGTGGTTCCCGGGACCCTAAATCCAAGGTTAGGGAGCTGTGTTCTATAGTGAGCCTCCGGTTCTAGGCGTTAGGATCGCAATCTTAGCCATTTCAAGTGAGAGCATAGAGACCTCTGTGACTGGGATTTAAGGCAGTGGATTCTTGATGCTAAACTCTGGCCCCCCAGCTGGAGCTGAAGCTAGGACTTTGCTGGTTAAACCTGCAGCGGAGACCAGTTCTTCTGGGCCCACGCTTCCTCAGCTGCTCTCAGAAAAGGCCAGGCCCTGACAGAGAGCCCGTGGCAGGAGGAGAGCGATGGGATGGGACACTGCCCGTGCAGAACCCCGCTGGCACGTTGCCATCCTCCCTGATTGTCTGCATAGCTCGCTGTTTGCCGCCCCCCCCCCCCTTCCCACACCTCTCTTAGTTTGTGCAGACACGGGGTCTAGGTTATGTTGAAACTAGTATTGTAACCCAGTAGGCAATAATTTTCCAACCAAGAGGTCAGATTTTATTGTATTTTTTTTCACAATAATTTGACCGAGTGAGTAAATGGATGCCATGTTACAGCTCACTGCTTCCTAAGGAAATAGAACGCAATGGGGGGAAGAGGGATGGGACCCGCTTCTCCAGTTCCGAACCTTTGCACCAGGGGGTGCTGTCCATAGAGCAAACAGAAGTCTGGCGGGATCACCTGCTTGTTAAGGCACCGATGGGCGTGAACATCTATGTTCAACGGAATCGCTGGGACGCGGGGAATCTGCCGGGCCACTTGCTGAGCCAACTGCCCGCAGCACGGACGCTGAGGCAACACCAGGCCAGGCCTCTGAGGACCAGCGTGCCCTCCAGTCTCAGCCAATGCAGGGAGAGTCGTGCTGCTTCCAGAACACCCACACGAAGGGCAGTAGTGCCTGTTTCAGAGGCCAGAGGTGATGAGGACTGAGCTGGTCTGTGATGCCCTCTTTTTAACTTTTTTCTGGTATTTGCCCAGAGGCAGCCCTGATTAGAATAATCTTCATCAAGAACTGGAGGAAAAGGAAGATTGGTCCCGTGATTTGGTAACCGAGGCACGTCTAGGTAGTGAGAAGGCCGGGAGTTGTCTTGCTTTCCACATAGCCACGGGGCAGGCACTCCCGATGGACAACCATGGCCGTTTGGGAAGGGCGCGCTGGCTGGAAAGCCTTCCTCTGCCTCTCACATGGCGCTCACGGAGTCTTTTGGTTTTTCTGATCCTGTCCTCGCATCTGCAAGGGAACATCATCCCTGTCCTGTTTCCCGTGTGGAGGTGTCGCACCAGCGTATTGCTCATCTGTGTCGAAGTGCGTCACTTACCGCGGTCTGTGCAGACGTGGGTTTTGTGTGGGAGCTACGCCTGTGTCTCGCTTGTCTTCTGAATCCCGTTTTCGCTGAACGTTTACCTTTCTCAGCTGGTCCACCTGCTTCCCTGCCCTTCCCGGCCCTGACACCTAGGCAGGAGATTCCGAAAATAAGATCACTTTTGTCAACGGCTTATTTGTCTTTGGTTTTTAAAATATGCCCACTGTACAGGCCTTTTGGGTGTGGAGTTCTCATAGCAGCTTACTCACCGGCTAGCAGACATGCCGGCTTGAAACTCAAGGGCCTCTGCCTGCAGCTAACGTGGCTTCTACAACGCCGTCCCTGGCAGAAGAGGCCTGACCCTGCCTGCAGAGGTGGTGACGTAGGTGCCGAGAGCATAGTTCACAGAGAACAAACGAACAACAATAGCAAAGCCCACGACACACAAGCAGCAAAGCAAGAGGCTTTACAACATTTCCGTCTTCTTTCTCCAAACGCAGGGCTCCCTCACTTTCCTTCACTGTCCAGGACAGGCAGGTGGCTGAGTCCAGTTTGTTCTGAGCTGTGGTGGAGTTAGAATTACTGAGTCTCAAGATCAGATTTTAGACGTGGGTTCTCTATTTCCACGTTTCCCTCTTTGACTCCACCACGAACTTCTCTGATTCTAGTACATTCAGGAGGTCAGGCCAAGGTGGGAGGCACCAGGCCCTCGGCCCTCAGGATTCATGGGGACAAGGAGTTAATAGAAGTAGAAGATATAGGGGGGAAGGGCGGAAGGCTATCTCACTGAGAAAAGGAGGAAAAGGGAGGGGAAAGGAGAGTGAAGGAGTCAGGATGGAGGAGGAGGGAGGAACGTAAGGGTCAAAGGAGAAGACCCCTTTCTCCAGCCTCCTGTTGAGACAGAGCAGAAACGAATACTTTAGAGCAAAAGCAGCTGTGCCTGCATGCCCTCGGTTGCTCCACGTGTGGCTCTAAGAAGCCAGAGACTCCAGACCCCGTAGTCCCCCATTCTCTGCCGACACAAGAACCCAAAGCTGCTGGTCCTGTTCCAGACAGCAGGGCGGCGCACGCCAGTCCTCTCCTGGAGATCTAGAGCATCACAGCGCTCACTTGGGGCTGAGGAAGGGCAGGGGAGCCCTGGAACAATGCTGGCAAAGAGAACTTCCAGGCGCCTCTATGGAGGGAGAGGCTGAGGTGGAGGGATGGGAGTGGAGACCATGGCGTTGGAAGGCAAGGGTTTAGGTCTGTCGCTTATTAGCTGAGGGGCTTCTAGGCAGTGCTCAGTTTTTTACCTGTAAAACACATCTCCATCTTCATGCCTACCTATGGTTATCGAGTAACAGCTGCAAACCCTACAGTGCCCTGTGTATCTTTGATGGCACTTCTCACTGTCTTATGTTTAAATAGAGGCCCGACGCACGAAATTTGTGCAAGAGTAGGCCTTCCTTTCCCCGGCTGCTGGCACCAGCTTCCCTCTGGCACCCGGGACCCAGGCTTCCCTTGCAGCCCCAGCTTCATCCGGAGGTCATCCAGAAGGACATCTGGTCTAATTAGCATATTATGCTTTTACTAGTGGCCAGTGCACAAAATTCGTGCACTCGGTGGGAGGAAATTAGCATATTATGCTTTTACTAGTGGCCCAGTGCACAAAATTCATGCACTCGGTGGGAGGGTCCCCCAGCCTGGCCTGTGCCCTCTCACAGTGCAGGAGCCCCGCAATCGATCACCCCAAAGAGGTAGTCCCCACCCATCCATCTGGGGTTCCTCAATGGATTGCCCATTGAGGTAGGCCGGAGTCGGGGGTCCCACCTCTGTGGCACGTGCACACGGATCCACGGGAACCCCGGAAGACACACAGAGCAGCTGCCGGGACCCGCATCCTCCACTCGAGGTGTTGGGGACTCTCCGCCGGGACCCGCCTCCTCTGTGCATGCAACCATCTTGTGACGGTGTGAGGGTATCATGGCGTCAGGGCGGGACGACCACATAGGCTATTGTTAGTATAGATTATTATAGATATTAGAATAACTTATCTTCCATAGTAGGTTATGTGCTCAGGGAGGGCAAACACTTACAGACTCATTACCTGGCGTGGCACCTAGAATATGGCAGGCATAACAAACATCTGCAAGTGAGAGCTACGAATTCAATAACAAGGAAGGGAGGGCTTTCTCCTAGGTCGCTCTCTAGAAACCAGAATGCGGGCCTGGAGCGGGTCCGCTCCCAGTCAGGCTTGATGTGGCGAGTGTCATACTTCCCTGAAGACTGAGAAATGCCTGGGGACCATTTGCACATCCTAATTTTTTCATTGTCAATCAAGCAATGAACTCAATTTTAACATATTTTTAGATTAAACATATTTTAGTATCTTAAGACAAATGAAAAAATGAAATCTATAACAATCCTACTGTCAGGGAAGAAAAGTTTCTCTATCTTTCTGGGTCCTTCTGGCTGGTTTAAGAATTAAATTGACATGAGACAGATTAACTGGAGAACGTAAATTTAATTTCATACCTATGGGAGTTCCACAAGAATATGGGGTCCCCAAGGTCAGGAAATTGGGGCTCATAAGCGAGTCTGGACTAAGAAGAGGTAGGAGTCTGGGACTTCACAGGGAAGAAGGTCATTCACATGGAGATAGAAAGACGAATGTTTGGCAAATGCTTGCCGGGCGATGCAGAGACAGTGGGACAGAGAGAGGTCTGCTCCAACGAGCCCT